ATAGTTACTCGATTTACCTCCTCAGTGAAAATCAATAAATATTCTTGTTAAACGCAGTTATACAAATATGATCTCACAAAAGTCACAATATCCGGACAGTGTTACGAATCGCTGAATATCACAAAAAATTCGAGTATTAACAACTAAAATCAAGCGGATAAAACAAACCTGAATATCGAAAAGATACGTCGAAAGAGTGCCATCGTTCGCAATCACAGCAAATACGCCCTCCAGTTGCGGATTCCATTCGAGTGCTATTCCGCACGCTTCATTTCTACTCGAAACTCGTATGGATTGCACCACACCCGCCTTAAATACATGAACGCTTCATTTTCAACAATTTTTCGATGACAGCTCAATTGACTCTTTGATAGTTAGGATGTTTACGCTTATGTTTCCAACTCATCCAAAAAGCATTTTCGGAATTTCATCTCTTCATTTACGCATCGCTCTTGCGACGATGGCCTCTCATAAAATTGTCAAACTAATCCATTTTTATGATCAACAATCTTCAGAATAAATAATATAATATCGATGGACGATGAGAACAAGCATTCAAATTATTTATTAACCTTCGATGAATAATCCGGTGAGAGGGCACAAATATCCATCAAGTAAACGAATGGACCATTCGAGGTGTTCACCAGCGCCGATAGCACTCGACCGCTACAACTGCATCCCAATGCAATCAGTTCATCGTTCTGAATTGAGTCACTTTCAAAATAATCACCAAAACCAACGCTCATTATTTGATATTAAGCACATATATCTATCATCCATACACTTCACTGTAATTGTTGTGGAAAAATCACATTTCGTGAAATCAATTTCTGCTTCAGTGAAAATATGCAATCACCAGTTGAATGCAAAACCAGTAATTTTCAACAGTCATCAAGAGCTGCAATAGCGAGAATAACAGAAGAACAGCAACATTCAAAAGAAGCACTCTTCACATAATTATCACTAACCTCATTTCCCGGCAGAACATTCTTCTTCAAACAA